GCCCATGGTTTGAATGTCTGCTACGTCCACTAGCAGCAAACTGATTGCTTTTTTTCTGAACCCTGACAAGATACAGTACCTCAAACTGGAGTTGGAATAAATTGGCTAATAAGTGGTGGGTTAAGGTTGCGTGGAGCCATAACGTGGCAGGAGACACCTGTGTCTGCAGCACTCCTGGTAGAGCTGCTCTTGGGCTTCCCTGCTGAGCGTCCTTTCTGTACAAGTCAGTTCATAAGCCTGTGTGTGCATGTACACTGGTATCTGATGTCCTCCCATACCCTCAACAGTTTTTTGTGAATGAAAAGGTAAATCACTGTTCATCAAAGCAAAAACATTTAAGGTGTGTGTGTAAATGTGTTAGGGTTTTATGCTTAGTAGGTAGTTTCCTTTTTTTTTCCCCACTACCTGTTTTCTCCTGAATGAATAAACCTTAAGCAGGAGATTTTCTATTTCTTTGTCACTCTCCTTGTTCTCATCTGTGACCATTTTGGTGCAAGTAAGTGTTGTTTTCCCACTCTTCTAACTAGTTCTTTTTTCCCTCTCTTGGAGTTAGTTGACAGGGGAGAAAGCATAACAAACTGATGGCTTTAAACCCATAAAGTAAAATGAATCTACTATTTAACTGAGTTGAACTAAAACATGACTACTTGAAAGAATTCGTTTGCAAAAAAATTGAAAGACCTGTTGATCTAAGCAGAAGGGGCTCAGGGATCTGTCATGCCATAAGCCAACCTCTGGGATCACCTTCAAGTTGACATCCATCAGCATTCATAGAGCTGACTAAACCCCACTCCTTTTAAAGACAGGCTGTAATCCCTCAGCTAGACCAGATGGCAAAACAGATACTAGAGGTAGATTTCCAAAGCACAGTTTTGGGGATTTTGCTGCATCAAAGTTTTGCAGGTAAATTGAATTCTCAGTGAAAAGCCATTGCAGCTTGATTTGAACCTTGCAGTTACTTTCAGGAGACTTCTGTCCTTTCCAGTAAAAACTCTCCTTTTGAGAGGTGAACAGTGGTTTGCTTTCTCCTTTAAGCCCCTTGTTGACACACCTTCTGGAGAAGGGGCTTGCTGAGAAATCAGACAGGTGTTGCCTGATGGTAGCTGGCGTGTGTGCATTGTGATACTGAATTACCAGCCAGGGTGCCAACAGTGGATAATACAGTATGTCTGCACAGGCAGGTGGGGACGGCAAAGCTGCAGGCACTGAAATGTTTCATTCTTTCCTTTTAAGACATACTATTAAGCAAAAAGCTAAGTTCACTGCTGTTCTTAGCAATCTCTTGAAGTCTGCTTATTTAGGCATGACATGCAGTACTTGAACGCTAAATAGAAGTCTGAGCCAAAGCTCTTTCCTCTCCCTCTTGAATGGTTACACGTTGCCAATATCCACTCTATTGTTTTAAACAGCCTTCTGGTCTTTATATCTGGTAGAAGTGGTGTTTGCACTTCTCAGGCTGTTGGCACAAGTTTTGTTCCTGCTGCCCTATAATGACTACTGTCATCTTGCTAAATGATAGGCTTGTTCATTGGGTCAAGCTCATTTTTGGTATATTTGTTCCTAATTAATTGGTTTTCCTATTCAAGCAAGTAACAAGTACATTGATTTACAGTCATGTTCCGGTTTTCTGGGAATTACTCATCTTGTGTTCTTGCCCCTTATACAATGAGCATCTCTCAGTTCCCATAGCAAAATGGTGGGCAGGGGGATTATCATCTCCTGCAGGACAGGGGACTAATGTGGAGAGGCATCTGTGCAAAGAGAGGCAACCCTTGCTTGCAGGCACTTTCTGAATGCACAGACAGTTCCTGCCTCGGGTTTGGGTTTGTTTTTTGGGGTATGTTTTCTGCAGCTTATTTGCTTTGAAATCTATATACAATATCCTGTCTTGCGCCGTGGATATAGTGATTATCACCGATCCAGTACGAAGTCACTATGACCTAGTTGTTGGCATCTATTTATGCCAATAAATGGCTGGGTGTCAGGTTACCTATGGTTGCAGCAAAGTTGGCAGGGTGGGAAACTCAAGACCCTTGCTGTCTGACAGCAGGTACGCAATGAACGGATTTACACGGGTGTTAAATGACCAGCTGCTCAGTGTTTACACGCTTGCAGGCGGCTGTGCTTGGGGTAGATGTGAAATCATGGCTGTATGCCCATGTCCTCGAGGCCTGTGTAGTGCCCGTGAGGCTTGAACTCTTGCAATCAGGGGACAAAAAGGCCGCACAGACATCCTTCTGTCTTGTCTGTCTCTCTGCTGGGTACTGCGGCTTGCCTCCTTGTGCTCTGACCACGTCCCAAAGCACAAGTGGGCTCCTGGTGACTCTCCTTTTCTGACATTTCAAGTTCAAGGTGTGTTGGCCAGAGACTGAAGCTCTTGAGTCTGCCCTGTGTTTTGGAGGCATATAGATGGATATTTCTTTGTTGGACAGGCTTGTTCATCGCAACCCATTAGCCCCTTGCTGCTTGCTTTCTGTGAATTTAAGCTACAGGTCTGATGCCTTCTAAGGTGGTTGTGTCAAACTCCTTTTGCCAGTTAGGGTGCCAAAGGGTGAACGAGGAGCAGATTGCTTCTTTTGCTGGCAGAGGGACCACACTGTTTGATTTGGACTCTCAGTATTCATGCTGCTGTTGGGCTCGTGTCCTTCTGAAAGTAGTAATTTTTGGGTTGTTTTTTTTTGGGGAGGGTGTTGTGGTTTTTTGTTTGTCTTTTTTTTTTTTTTTTTGACACTCCCCTTCCCCCAACTTGTAACCTCATCTTTTGTCTTTGAAGATGTTATACATAAAACTACAGTCAACACCAACACCCCTGATATGTGATGAAGGGGTGTGTATCTCCTTCCATTTGTTCAATTCTCTGAATGCCTGCAGACACCGGACACTTTGGTTCCTGGCATGTGCTGTGCCTTCCCTGTGCCATTGCACTTCCATATTTACGCTTTCCTTTCAGCCCATGGCCTTTGGGTGCCCAATTTCTTTACACTTCAATTATATCAAGGTATCCAAGCGATTAGGTGGCTTTTTGAGATTTTTGAGGCTTTCTTTCCTGGAAGCCTTCACGATGCTATGAGCAAGCTGATGCGTTGAGGGAAACAATGCTTTCTAAATTTTCTTCTTTTAAACCTAAGTGATTCTTTTCCTATTTTTTGAGATGAAAAGACAACATAGTGAGTTCACTCTTACCTTCAGTAAGGAATTGCTTTTTAATTAAAAAACCATAAGGAATTTCAGGTAAAAAGATGTACGATATAAATCACCATCCAGATCTGTTTCGCAACTTTTATTTTTGTAATTGTTTGGCATGTTCCCCATTTCCGCGGGCTGAGTAAATCCTTTGTGGGTTTAATCTGTAGCCTGGAGGCATATAAAATACATTGCACAATTTTGCCTTTGCATTTTTAAATATTTTTTTTTTCCTTAGCTTAAATACCTGTAGCATCTTCTCTGCCATATGAACGGGTGGTGTTGAGTGAGGAAGGAAGGGATTGGCTTGGCTTATTTTTAATCTCTCTCTCCTCCCTGGTGTCTCTCCCAACTTTGGTTTTTCCTGTGTTAGCAACATGTATGTTTTGAAATGCAAGTAATCCCTGAATATCGCTAGGTAATCCTTCTGCTGCCACATCACCCACCACCCACCCATGCATGCGCTGGCTCTTCTCATCCCAACAGGGTGGATGGCCATGTCTTGCTCTAGACCAGTATGAACCTGCCAGTGCTGTGTTTGAACAGTTGGGTCTGGGGCTGTATCGGCCATGGCTGCTAGAGATGTTTTTTTAGAAAAAAGCCACCTTGGGGTTTTCACTTTTTTTTCTGTGCAAGAACTGAAGAGATGGAAGTGGGGAAATACCAGCAATTCCTGTGGGTTATGTGGTTAGAACTACTGGAAGAGCTCTGTACTTGCAAATGTGTGAGCACCTGGAGAAAACTGAACGCCTCTGAAGCAGGGCACTGATGAAAAATAACATGTTCTGGAACAGCAGAGGAGACTGGAGACTCTCCTTTGTGGGGGACATCCAGAAAAATGGGTTTGGATTACTGAACTATGTAAGAGTTGCCTTGCAAACCATTCCTGCTAAGCACACACCCTTATTTCAGTGAGGGTGTTTGAACAGAAACCAATGACGTCAGCCCATGCCTTGATGTTTTGCTGAGTAAAGTTTTCCAGATGTGAACACAGTTAGGGGAAAAAACTGCACCACTGTTACTGCTTTAGTGGGGAACACCTTAAAAGAGGTATGCTTCAAGTTAGCGCAGTGAATAAGAGCATCTTGTTCTGCTCCAGGTGTTCGTTGGACAGTCAAAACTTCCCTTTTGGAGTCAACTGCTGGGTTGTGCTCTAGGTTTTGCCATGGACCTGGTCTTTGGAGTGTTCACCTTTTTTGATTATTAAAAAAAAAAATATTATTTACCTTTTGTGGACATAATATTTTGAGTTTAGAAGTGTGGAGGTTGCTACAGAAGTAGTAAGCAGAGGTGCGAGATGTTTTTTAAAGGTGACTGAAATGTCAGATTTGGTACAACTCCCAGATTGGTTAGGGTCTTGCTTTCAAGTGCTATTCAACTTGAAGGCTGATGTTTTTATTTCAACTCTCTACAAAAGTAGGAAGGCTTCTTACAAAACAAGATGCAACACCCTGTGTGTGGCTTCCAGGATTACAGTGTGCTGTCAAAAGACTAGTAGCCATTTTGTTAGGAAGGTAATGTGTGTCTCTTGTAAGAGTGAATGTGTGCCCAAGAGTAATAAAGACTATTTGTTCATGTAAAAGTGATGCTCTTTAGGAAAACTAAAATGTAGATTTATATTCTGCTATTCTAAACCAGGCAAAGGTGTAGAGATTTTGCCACTTGTCTGGAAATGTGGCGTTTGTTGTGACCAAATGAAATGCACATGCAGTAGCTGATGCATTCAGTGATATATGCAAAACCATCTCAGTACTTCTGGCATGCATTCATTCCTAGCTGAACATTCTGACTCTCTCTTGCTCTGTTTCCTCATCCAGTATTCCACTGAACTAAAAAAGCTGTATTGCCAAATCGCCAAGACATGTCCTATTCAGATCAAAGTGATGACCCCACCGCCTCAGGGAGCTGTTATCAGGGCTATGCCAGTCTACAAGAAAGCTGAACATGTCACTGAAGTGGTCAAACGCTGCCCGAACCATGAGCTGAGCCGGGAGTTCAACGAAGGTAAGGAAGGCAGTGCATTGCTGGCAGTCCCTCTCCAAAGCTGCTCATCTGATGACTGACCAGCGTGGGGATTTGGTGGCAGCTTTACAACAAACCTGATAGAAGCAGGCTGCCCTGCAACATCTTGTGCAGCTTTTTATTTCCCATGCTTAGCTTCATGAGAAGCTTCATAATATACTTTAGCTGTCCCTGTGCAAGCACGTCCTTGGGAAGAAAGTACCAAAATAAATCTCATGCCTGCCCAGGTTGAATGGATGTCTGTCCTCATGGCAGGCAATGCCTTTCTGGCAGCCTTTCCCTGCTCTGTTTTCACTCCTGCAATGAGAAGCAGCTGTTCTTGTGTTCGGGAATGAGTTTCCACGTTGCTGGGACAAGGATCTAGTAACAGGATGCAATATCATCTCCAGCCTTTAATCCGTGCCTCAAAGATGGAGGTGCTGTTTATCTCTGGCAGAATAACACTAAGTGCCAGCATCAGTTCTAGGCAACCTTCCTGTACATTTAATGCTATTGGTTCAGTATTAATGTTTTAATCTTTTATTTGGTGCTGCTTGTGTTAGTGAAGGAGCAGCAGCTTTAAAAATGTCCTGGGATTTTCTGCAAACTCATAGGCTGGGCTCTGTTTTGCCTTGGTCATTGAAGTTCACATAACTTCAGATGGCATCTGTTTTATTCTATGTGCATTATTTATCTCTTACTGTAAAAAAAAACCTTGTTGGTGTCAGCAGGATATCTTAGGAGCCCAGATCCCTTTGCTGATTGCAAAGCAGCCATCTAGACAAGCACAAAAATAAGCAAGGACTTTGGAGTGCAAAATCAGAGTGAAGTGGACAGGTCTTCAAAACAGTTTTTCATATTAAAAGTGCTTTTCTAACAGAACTGGATTTTTTGAGGGTTGATACCTAGGTTAGTAATAGAGTTTTTATGAAGAAAAAAGAAATGGTAATTTTTTATTCTGAAATAATTATTTCTCTAGAAATATGATGTGTTTAGGTTAAGAAATGAGCAAAACACAATCGAAACAAACATAACAAATTCTTGAGATGAACCTGTAATAGGCTTCTCTCCCCAGAATTTAATCATACATTGTAGAAACACTGAAGAAAATTTGCAGGAAGGAGACTTTTTTAATTATTGGAAAGGGGCTTTAAACAAAGAAGATTATGTTCCCTTCTGCCGCTGCTGTAAGCAAGCGGGATTTTTCAAGTTGACCATTAATTAAATGCATATTTCTCTTGCTATTTGAATCTTTTTTAGCTCCTTAGGATCAAGACTGATAGAAGACAACAGAATAGGGCTAGCAATTTATAGAAAAAGAGTAGGAATTTAGGCTTGCAGGAATTTGCCTTGTTTATGTGTTTGGGGAAGGAAAAGAAAGGCTTTCACCAGGTGTGAAAATCCACATGGAGTTATCTTCTGGAAGAGTTGCTGTGAGCTACCATTCAGTTGACATTTGGGCTTGCTTAGTCTGGGATCATGAAAGCTCATGTTCAAATTTACTCACAGGTACCCAGTGTGAGCTTGGGAAAGACTGTTGCTTTTGTTGTCTGGCAGCAGGGACATTGAGAAGGGATGCTTCAAGGATTGGGAGGCATGTGTTCTCTGATAGACGGATGGTTTCTTTTGGTGGAAGATCTTGCTGCCCTGTGTGTGATCTTGCTTCACTAAATGGTGTCTCTTGGTTTTTTCGCCTCCTTGCCTTTGCAGGGCAGATTGCTCCTCCCAGCCACCTGATCAGGGTGGAAGGGAACAGCCATGCCCAGTATGTAGAAGACCCCATCACTGGAAGGCAGAGCGTGCTGGTCCCCTATGAGCCACCCCAGGTATGCTGTGAGCTCAGGGTGGTGGCATCCTGGGGTGGGGGTTGAAGGGGTCAGGATCTTGTGCTTTCCTCATCACAATGAATCTCTTCCTTCTCTTAGTCAAAAATGAGCTTTCAAACACCCTCTCTATCCTTCCAGGATAGGAGTTCTTCATTTATTTTAAGAAATCCTTGCAGTGTGGTCTATTTCATGCTAGTCTGCAACACAGCTGTGGAAGTACCAGAGGAGAGCCTGGAAAAAGCAAAGTTTTCTATACACCATTTTTTCTGCTCATCTTCTTTGTCTCACCCAGGTTGGTACAGAGTTCACAACAGTCTTGTACAACTTCATGTGTAACAGTAGCTGCGTGGGAGGGATGAACCGGCGCCCAATCCTCATCATTGTGACACTGGAAACCAGAGAGTAAGTAGTGCTTTGCAGGTGGCCTTCATGCTCTTCTGTTTGGGGCAGCATTACATATACTTAGGGACAGCTTGACGCAAAGGGCTGTAGGATAGTTTTCAACTCTCTGCCCAGCACCTGGGGTATCCTGACTGGGAATGGAAAGTTTGGGTCTGTCTGTGCATAGTCTGGTGTGAAGTTAAGGGATGCTGCTGGCCTGCATCTAAGCTGCCAGCTGACATTTCCTCTCACCTCTCTTCCCAGTGGGCAAGTCTTGGGCCGCCGATGTTTCGAAGCCCGCATTTGCGCTTGCCCAGGCAGAGACCGCAAAGCAGATGAGGACAGCATCCGCAAGCAGCAAGTCTCTGACAGCACAAAGAATGGTGATGGTACGAAGCGCCGTAAGTAGCTGGCAGAGCTGGGCAGATTGCAAATTGTGGGTGCAGGTGCGACCTTGGCTCTTGTGCTGTGGGGATGTGCGGTGCTGTGCATGGGCTTGGAGGCAGGAAGGCATTAGACATCTGCTCTCCCAGGGTCAATCAACTTGAAAAATGAGCTGGTGTTCACAAGATGGGTTTATGGGCTCCCTTGCAGCACTCCCTGTGTTAGATCAGACCTGCCAGCAGTGGAGGAATAGGGTGCTTATTTGCCACCCTAAAGTTTCGTTGGCTGGGATTCTGTAACCACTTTTTGAACCTTTACTGCTTGTTTGGGACTGCACTGTCATTCTCTGCTCCTTCCAGCCAGCATCTCGTGCTGTGGCATGTGTCTTCCAGCCACAGGGATCTAGATTAAGTTTGCATATAAATCTTCCTGTGCATCGAAGGTGCTCTGGCAAGTGACCTTTCTGTCTGCTCTAAAGAGTGCAATGTACTTATCAGACAGCACAATGTGGAACACTATCTTTGGTTTCCCACAGATGCTTAGCGAGATACTAGGCTGAATGAGGCTAGATTGGAGAGGGGGCTTTGTTTTTTGCAGTGAATTCTGCATGCTCCCTGCCTCTTGTCTTGTCTTCATGGATCACTGATCCATCAAACAGCTCCAGAGCGCTCTTACGCCAACGCTCAAAGTCTTCCCTGCAAAGAGCCAGGGCTTGTTCTAGGTTTGGCTTTCTGGGGTTTTGCCATATACCCAGTGCTTCTTGGCTGATGTTTTCCCACGCAGTATGGCCACCCAGCATCCACAGAGTCATGTCTGCCTTACGGAGCCAGAAGCTGCAACAAGAGTTCTGGAGTGTCTTAGGCAGAGATCTTTCCAGAGCACTGCAGATCTGAGACTTTTATGTCTCTCCTGTATCTCCTTTTTATTATTTTTTTAAATTTTTTAATTTTTATTTCTCCACATGCAACCCTCCCCCTTTTTTTCTATTCTTTCCTCCTTTCTTAATGGGATGCTTTTGGGGTTTCTCTTCCAGCTTTTCGACAAGGAACTCATGGCATACAGATGACATCTATCAAAAAAAGACGCTCCCCAGATGATGAGCTCTTATACTTGCCAGTAAGTTCTCCCTGTCTTTGCGTTTACTTTGTTTAAGATCTTCCTCTATGACTTGAGGCAAGTCAGTGGCTTACTTAGACCTCAAAGAGAGCCAAGGATTGGGTGTATATTTTTGTGTTACTTTTTTTTTTTAATCCCCTGAGCTATCTATTTTAAATACATGTTCCAAACAAAAAATACAAAAACTTCCAGTAGCTGCTGACTGACAATGACTTGTGCAAGGCGTATGAGAATATCCCAAGGGATCTGTCTGTCCTGGTGAAAAATTGCCTTGGAGACCTAACTGGGTTTCCACCTCTGTCATTTCTGGATATGTGACACTTCCTCTAGAGATAATGGGTGTTGTCTTACTGACCAAGGTGGATGCTTCTGTGGCATTTGTATGTATTGCCATTGTAATGTAGTGATAGAAGTGAAATATGCTGTATTGTGTGGGATCAGAAAGGGCAAGAAGCATCTGTAATTGGCCATTTAGCTGCTTTCCCATGAGCCACATTTAGTTGGGTAAATCACAGACAACCATGGCGTTCCTGCAGGAAAAGGGAGATCCAAACCCAGCACCCAAATTCAAGTACTCATTTTCCTCAGTGCATGTAAGATTCAGCAAAAGATCTGCTTACATTTGTGACAGGTAAAGATGTTTTCTGTCTATGGATTGGATCAAAATATTGCTTTTGGTTGGCATAGATTTATATTGAGCCAGATGACAAGCACAAGATGTTCACTAACCTTCAGTGTCAGATTACCACTCTTCAACATTATCTGCTTTACCTTTAGCACAAGGTTTAGCAACAACGTTTTGTTGCATATCATTGTGTATAAACAGGGTATTTTTGTCCTGCAATGCTTGTTTACTTGACTATACCTAAAGCTCACTAAGGTGGCTGTCACTAAGGACTATAGAAACAGTCCTTTAAGGCTTTCTTCCCCCCACCCCTCCTTTTCCCATGATTCAGGTGCGGGGACGTGAGACCTATGAAATGCTACTAAAGATCAAAGAGTCCCTGGAACTTATGCAGTACCTTCCCCAGCACACAATTGAGACCTACCGCCAACAGCAGCAGCAGCAGCACCAGCACTTGCTCCAGAAGCAGTGAGTATGAGTGTGTTTGCAGTGAGGGTGGTGGGCAGGAGGGAGAGAGGAGAGAGACACAGAAGGCTTCTGCACACTTGCTGGTAGGGATCTGGTGCTCAGCTGAGGGCTGAGCACTTCTGCTGCAGTACTGCACTGTCAAAATCTTTTCCAACAGCATAGCTGCTTGTTAATTCTGTGGTCAGAGCTGGTAGAAACTGATGCCAGGAGTTTAGCCAAAGCCAAGTTTCTGTACAGAACTTGAGAGACTCTGAGATCTGGATTTCATGACCTGTACAATAGGACAAAGCAGGCCTCATTTCCCAGGCACACATCCTGACTGTTTTCAAGGTCCCACTCTAGCCTCTTGTCCCGTGCAGTTCACCTTTTGGCTTTGGAGGGTGAATGGCATGTTAGTGCCTCGTTCTTGACTTCCAGCCAGAGCCTACCGTGTAGTGCAGCAAGGCAGTGCTACTGAACAGCCTGCACACAGAAACCAGCTGCCTGTGCCCTCCTGAGCTGGGGAGCACAGGCTGGGTGTGCTCTTCTCTTGTCTGGTCCACGGGAACAGCAGCAAACGTGTAGCCATACTTATGCCTTCTGCAGGGTGTCCATCTGGGTATCTTGCCAGGAGCACATGGAGCTGGGAGTGTGAGCACCAGCTTGGCCGAGTGCTTGAACCCTGCTGTTCTGTATCTCTGGTGCTGTTGGAAGGCTGGTGTCCCAGTGGGATATAAATGCTGTAAGGTTCCTCAGCTATAAAACAGGAAGCTGAAAGTTGAGAGCCAGATTTAAACACATAATACATTTGTGATCAGTGGTAACTTCAAAGAAAGACTCTCTATGTGCAGTTTTATAGTGTTTTTAGAAATTGCACTTTGTCACTGACTCTCCACATTGCACATGAAAAACTTCCCATCCAGGCAGATACAGACCCTATCTGAACTCAGCTGGTAGAGCTGTGCCAGGATTACTTTGGGTGGTGTAAGTGCCAGGAGGATGGGGAGAATAAGAAGAGCCAAATAAGTGACTGGTTTCGATTTTCCCCTCTGTTCCCAAAGCTTTGCAGTTGCAGACACTGGGTCAGAGAATTACTTCCCAGACAGACTGTAAGTGGTGTTGCTTGTGGGCATTGCTTCACCTGCCATATCAGGTGACAGAAAATAGCCACCCAGGCTGTAGGTAGCCGCCAGCGGTAGTGCTTAGGATCTCACACGTTCCTGCTGGTAAGCTCACGCGTCAGGAGGCTGCGGGTATAACTCATTCTCTGCAGAGGTTAGCAGGAGGCCAAGGCACCACATAAGTCCCACTTGAGCCTCTAGGGATTTATTTTGGTGCCTTGGCCTTGTCTCAGGACTTCTGCAATGCCACGGCTTTCTGCCAGATCTCTGCATGTGTTCACATTTCAACCTGTGTGTATTTAGTGTCAGCTGGAGTCTTGTGGAGGTGTGAAAAAAGCCTTGTGCCAAAATGGCTGGAGCTTCCAGGGGCTCTGGATAATTTTCGGGGCACTTAAAATTATCATTATTTTTATCGGTCATCTGCACTGTTTGTTTATACAATACCTTGTATTTACTAGCTCCTAGGCATTGCCGCCTTTTTGCACTGGCTGCGTGTCTTCAAAGCTCCACCTGAGCTACAGCCATCTCAGTTGAGAAGTGGTTTTGTAAGCAGAAATGGACGGCAGCAGATGACTGCTTTCCCTTGTGCTGACAGTTGCTTTGCCATAATTACTGTTTTCATTCTTCCTATATCAATAGGATGGGTTCCTGGCAACTGAGGTTGGTATTTGTATTACCTTTAAGACTAGCGTGTGTAAGTCCAGCCATTTAATTTAATGAAACCTCTTTCGGCATGTCTCCTGGCACTTGTCCAGTTATATACTCATTTTTCTCAGCTGCTGAGTGTGCTCAGACACTGGGGAGAAAGATTAAGAGCTCTTAAAGATACCAGAAGTGGGGAGAAAAATAACTTTGAGTGTTTGTCCAGAGCTGCTGCAGTTGTTACTGCCAACAGCTTGCCACCAAGCATTAATGCATGTTCAGGCAATAGCTACATAGCTGCAGTTGGGTTCTGGTGCTTTTTCCTCTATAATCCATGGTTTGTCTTAAGTTCTGAAGGAATGTGTTCAGGGCGAAGGGGCATTTAGGCTGAAAAGACTCATAGACACAATTCCACCCCAGAAAAGAACCATAAATGAGCTTTAGGTCGCAACATGAGAATGGGGAGAGAAGACATTTTGTGGCAACTGGTTTGGGTAAGAGCAACCTTGAATGTGAGCAGGTTGCTTGGAGATATACTACCACTGCTTGCTTGTCAAGCTAGTAAAACTCAGCAGCACAGTGACTGACACCTTTGCAAGTCTATTCTGGCTTTAAAAGAAAATGCCTTTCACTTTGTAAGTAGGGATGTACTTTCAAAATTCAATCTGATTTCTTCCGTTCAAAGTATGTGTTAAAATTGGGAGCTAGGAAAGTAAATACGCAGTGACCAAGTTTGAATATGTAGGAACCTGTAGGTACTAGCGGGGCTCTCTGGGGATTGGATGTTTGCAAGTTGCCTGTGTCTCTTTCTTCTCAAAATGGAGCTGCACTACAGTGCTCCACAGGCAAGCCTTGATGGAGGAATTCCTTGATTTTTTTCAGTTTAGTTTTATGAGCAATGGTTAACATAGAAAAGCTACCTACATGTATGTGTGTGGGGAAAATGTTTCCCTTTTGTTCCTACAACATGAAAAGCTTTATCTTTTTAAAAACATAGAAAAAGTAAGGATGAAATCATGGTGAAAATAGATTTAAAAAGATAAATCTGTCATTTGGAAAACAACTGTATAATTGCTTTCATGCAAATACAGACCAGCATTGCATTTGGAAGGTCAGCAGATGCAATTGTCTTTACTGCCCTGCACTAAAAAAGGCAAACCTAGCAATAATCTAAAAGCATTGTGTCCCACAAAATGACCAAGATACTGTAATGCTCCATGTTGTGCCAGACCTCACATCTTTCTCTGTCTCATCTCCTCTCTCTGTTTGCTCCTTTGTGCATGGTTTTCTTGCATTTACTATTATGCCAAATACCTTCATGATCATAGCTGGGAAGTTTGGGTTGTGGGTTTTTTTTTTGCTGCAGTTTCTATTCTTCCATTTTCACTGCCAAATCCTGGGGCCCATATTTGAACAACAGCACACACATTTATTTGGACTTCCTTTTCATGGTCTGCCTCCATTTGTTTTAAACACCTATTTGCCAGAAGATCCCTGCTGCCAGAGGTACCAGAGGTGGCTTGTGCATGAAAGTCTTCTTCGATAGACTGCTGTGAAATACAATTACCATCAATATTCCCAGGGAGTATCTGCACAGCCTTTAAGCGTTTCACTGGAAAACACTTTTTCATATACAGCAAAATTTCCTTGGTGGGTTTCACACTGCTGAGCACTGTTGTCAGTCTTTATTTCAGTTCTTTGTCATAGCATAAATCATAAAACATTTCATGTTGTGAGGTATGCCTATGGATCATCAAGTCCAACTCCCATGATTGAGGGGGTTTCGCAAAATCTCCCAATGGCTACCAAGAAGAGGGCTCTTATGTCCAAGTAGGATCTTATATCCAAGCAAATGTTTCTCTTCTATCAGCAGCTATCAGCCCACTGGCTGCCTTTCAATCTAGTGAGTAGCACAGCTCATTATCCAATGAGAAAGAATTAACCTCCTGAGTGAGGTACGACATAGCTGAGTAATTCAGCCTGGAGTGTTCCAGTGAGATGGTTGCTGCAAGGATCCTCACACTTGCAATCACAGGGAGGAGGTCTGGTGGGGAAGGTGTTCTTCATATCTCCACCTAATTATTCTCATTCTTGGTGTGGAAGCTAATAGTGGATTTTTGCATGATTTGGTTTGGTTTTATAGTGCTGTGCTTGCATGCATTGTGAACTGCAGGCATTTAGATAGTGTTCTCACTAGAGAATTGCAAAGATGAAAGTAAGCAAGAAAAAGTGGGGGATTAGGTATATGAAGACATGCTGCATTTGTTTTGCTGGCTCTGAGGAAGCAGTGCCTTCTGCATCAGCTGGCAGCTCCATGGACCCCTTGGCTTTAGTGCAGAGGGGTCCCTCAGCTTTGAAAAAGAGAGTATTTGAGATGTGATCAATATGGTCCTTTAACAGAAGGCACCATCCTTTCTCCCTAGCACTAGCTTCTGGGTTTTAAGTAATTGAAGTTTGAAGTGGGCTCAATGGAAGCCACTTCTCTCCTTTTCCCCTTTGGCTGAGTGCTTTTCTGCCTTTTGTACTTTTTACTGGGAACTGTATCAAGACACCATTAGCTAGCATGAGACAGGGACACAGAAATCAGATTTCCCTATCAACTAGTTCTTTTTTTTTTTTTTTCTTTCCTTGCCAAGCACTCACTTGTACCTGGGGCTTTCCAGCTTTCTAAATCTCCCTGTCACATGTCCTCACTGTGGGTGTTAAGGCATCTGCTTTTCCTTTCCTTCAAAGCCTATACTGTGATCATGAAGGTGGAAACTGACTGTTTCTCTCTTGGTGGCTGGTGAAAGGTCCTGTACATTCATCTTTTTCTTTTCTCTGGTTCCTTCTCTACAGTCTCCTTTCGGCCTGCTTCAGGAGTGAACTCACGGACTCAAGGAGAGACCCTCCCAAACAAACCGATGCCATCCTAAAACATTCCAGCCCCCCAAACCCATCAGTATATCCATAAACTGAGCTGGTGGGGTCACTTTGCCCAGCTGGCAGGACTAGGAACAGTGGGGCAAATACACAACCTGACAGCAACAGAGTAAATAGAGCAATATTATGAAGGGACTCAAAATTTGCAAAAAGAACAGACATTTGTACAGACCTCTTAGCTGTAGCCCATAGCATCGGGAGGTCAGGAACCACAATGTTGTCTGTCCTGATGTAACTTTTTCTTCCTGTTTTTGTAAAGTGTTGATACTCTTTCCTCTTCTGTATTTGTGAAACTCAGCAGTGTTTCTCTGAGCAGGTCTCAATTTTAAAATGCCTCTTGTCTTGTTTAACTTTTAAAATGTGTTTATGGGTTGGGGTGTGGGGTAGAAGAGGGGTGCTGTTTAAACAGTCTGTGATAGTCAGTTTGGCCTGTTTTAATGCCAATCATGCAGTAATAGTACAAGTAGCTGAAGTATTTGTACTGCTGGACAGGAGGTAATAATTATATGAATTGGCACTGGTAAGAAATCAGTTTTATTTGTATTTTTTTTCTGTAGAAATGCCCACTAATTTGGCATCATGAATTGTTTCCCCTTATTTCTAATCTTAAAGGGTCTGACTCTGACATGAAAATTGTAGGGAAGATTGGGTGACTGACTTTGTGCCAGCAGCCCTGGCTTTTGCTTTGCTGAGTTTAGGAAGGTCCTTCCTGATGCTGTGGGCTCAATTTATGTGGGCTGAGCTGCACAGGTTGAATGTGAGGTTTAAGTCCTTCCATGTTATGACATCCATGAGTCCCTGCTCCCTTTGCAGCTGAGGATGTAAAGGGCAGTGTCGAACACTGCTTGTTGCCCTACCTGTGAAAAGAGGTTTGAGCTTGACCCTTTCCTTACAGATGTTCAGCAGTTATTAGATGTTGCCTTAGATTTTTCATCAACCATACTGCATTTTACTCCATCACTACAAACCTCATAGTGCAAAAGGAAAGCAGTGCCAGCATATGCCTCAGGCCATGCCCACCTTGTCCATTAATCCTGCAACCAGTGGCTTTTGCTTATTATGTACATGAAGTGCATCCTCTCTTAGCAATTCCTGCATAGAAGACTTTTTCAGCAAGGACTTGTAAATCCTTGCACTGGTTGTATCAGACTTTACCTCTGAAAATCATTTGTATGGAGCTTAACAAGGAGGATTTGAATCATTTGGGAACTTCATTTCTGTGTCAAGCTCAGACTAGCACAAAGGAGAAATGATCAACATGCAAGTAACATGCCATGGACTTATCCTGGCACTAGGTGTGGATACTGGTGATGGTGGAGGAGTTGAGAGTGGGAATGATGCCTCCTGGAGCTTTCCCCACTGGGAGGTGCTCAAACACCCTTACATGAACAATAGCCCTTAATGCTGGTAGAGAAGTGTCTTTCAACCCACATTTTCAGCCAGTGGCATCTCTCCTGAGGAACCCTCGTGTTCATGGCCGCAGGAAACAGTAGTGTAAAGAACTTACTGAAGGTACACCAGGAATGATGTCCCCTGTGAGCTTGTGTCTACCCAGATCAGCAGTGGTTGAAGAAAAGAGGTTCGTCACAAATGTCAGTGATCAGTAGCCCCTGAGAAATACAGAGAGCTAGGCTGATACTGATGAGAACCTGTGTGCCTGCAGTGCAATCAATACTGGATTTATTTGGGGCTGCGTGCATAGCTCTGATACACTTGTGGTTAGGTACAGCCTGAAGAGAAGGTGCCTCCCAAATGCAGAGTGAGCCCCCTGGCCACCCACCAAGGAAAAAAGCCTGATACAGTGGGAGAACACTTTCATCTCTGAACATTACGTCATCTGCTTCCAGGCAGCAGAGCTGTGATCTGAGCAGGTGATGACTCGTACTAACATCATCCTTGGGAGCCGTATCACATCTCTGGGTATCTCCTTAGTTGTGTTAACAAGACTTGTTCTACCATAGAAGTGTGGGGGAAGGCTGATGGAGAAAACCCCCCAGAACTGTGACTTAGTATAAATAATAACTAATTAAGCACTAGTAGTGATTTTTTTTTTTCCATATAGTTGCAGCTCTATTATTGTTCCTTGTGTAAAGCTAACCAAATCAAGTACCTCTCTACTTTGCCTGGAAACCCCAGGAAGGACTTTAAGATTAAAAAGCAGGTAACTATTGCTCTGTGCCTTTTTATTCGTGAGAAGAAAGGCTATTCCTTCGTCTGTGAGAGGTTGGAACCTGAACTGCAAATGCAGCCCAGATGCAGGATTATGGCATTGTCAATCTGTCCTTCCAGTGAAGGCTTATTCCTGGATCTTGGGTCTGTCTGCTTGTGGATGGCAAAACTGAAATATTGCAACAAACACACACAAACCCGTATCTAGAGCTCTGCTCCACAGCCTGCCCACCAGCAAGTTTGAGGAGGCAGCCCACCAAAAGGTACAAGATGTCCACAGCCTGCGCAGGGAGATTCTAGCTCATGCTCCAGTTCATCGTCAGGTCTGACCTCTAGGAAATCTTTGTACCATGATGGGCAATAAAGCACCTGAGACTTCCACCAAGTAAGAATCTAAATTATTTGAAGCTTACTGCTCTCTGAAAGGGCTTTCCAATTTGTCCTCCTTACCTATAAGAGGATGATGATAGTAAAGCAGGTCTCAGTGGTGACTTAATGTGCTCTCCAGCTTACAAAGTGGTTATCTTAGAAGGTACTTTATTTTTTTTATCAAATAACATGAAGCTGGAAGTGATTGGAGTTACTTCATAGTTGGTCTTCTGCAGGTAAAAGAAGAAAACTTTTTCCCAGCTGTCTTTTGATTAATTCTTTGTCCTCTCTGGGCCTTTGGAAAAGCCTTTTCAAGGAATAACAAAGTGGAATAATAGGACCTTATCAGTCAGTGAGGATATATTATATCACATAGTTGATGTATATCCACTCCCTGTATTATAGCTCCATTTCCTGGAGAGCAGATTGCATCTGCTGCCTGCCATGGGAAAATCCCATACCTGAAATCTAAGAGGAGTCATTATTGCCACCTTTTCCCCTGTGCTGTAGTTATTATGTGCCTAGTGACCATCAGAGCTCCTCCTTTCCATGATCCCATTTATACAATAGCTTGTTCCAAATCTATAAATCACTTGCGTGGTTTAAAGATGCACTATTGCTTGCTTTAGAATAGCAGCTATTAGAGATGTGGGGAGCAAGGGCATTCCTCTGCTTTTCAGTGTCTCACTTCATGGGCCTTCAAAGCGGATAAGTGCAACTGAGCATCATCTGTGTCATCTGTGTGCCGTTATTAGGCCACATCAGTGACACCCCAGTGTTACGCAGCCCAGTGGGCAACCATACATGAAAAAAATGTTATGGATGGTCATGTTGACTATGTGTCAGCTTGGGATGTAATCCTTGCTGCTCCTTCTGTGGCTAGTGTAAGGAAAGGCAAGCCCAGAACTGGACAGCTTTGATTCTACCTGGGTCTCTCTGCATTGTGATTAACTCTAGGTCTTCAGGGATAGAAAAACTGTAAGGACAAGGGCTTGGATGAAATCTTAAATGCTCTGAGCCTGAGCTGCCCTATTCTTAGTGGACCTTAATTTGCATTAAGGCTGCTTACATGATGGTGTACTCATCTAATGTGAATGGGGAGTCTGGGACTTGTCTACTGAATCAGGTAATTGGTCTCTCCAAATACTTTCCTACCTCTGGTGAAGGGCTGATATCCAGTAAGCTGGGAAAGTGCAGAATTATATAAGGTAGCTTCTCACCTGAACTGTGCTTCTTATATGGGAAAAGGAATTTCCTTCTTTACCTCTTGAAGTGATCACTATATGCCTTGAAGCATCACAGACAACTGCCCTCATATGAGCTTGCATAACTACAAATGTTATTGGCTAAATAATTACATAGCCTCTTGAAGGGAGAAATATCAGTTGCAGAATGTGACTCAGTGCCTTTTGTATCAGACTGTTCCAAGAAGTTATAATAGTCTCTTAATTGAAGTCCTTATACCTTGATATTAAAATGCATTTCATTGGCAATGATATCAAAGAAATGTTAATGCTCCTACTTCTAATCTTTCTTGAGACATAGTAAGTATAACTTTAATGAAAATCACTGTGCATGATACTCTTATTATACCTGGGATTTTAAAAAAAAGGAGGGGAAAAAAATATATTTTAAATGAATTCTCAAACACCATGTAGTCTGTGTATTCAATACCAAACCATTTTCTTGTGTTCCTGAGGATGTTGCTATATTGATGTGTGACATTCATTTTCAATAAAATTTTGCATCTTGGTTTATCTTGGGACTTTTCTTTGACTAGATGGCTTTCTCCAGACCTTTTACATGTCTGCTCATGTGATGGAATAGTTGAATTGAAATGAGCATGGGTATGAAGAAAAATGCCTTTGTTTCACATTTTATTCACTTGAACTTGATTGTCTTAATGTTGATTCTTATGAGTATGATTAAGAGTGGAGTCCTTAAGCTGTATGTTAAAGTATGCATTTGTTTTCTGTAGTGTAGATTGCTTTGGGTTGGCTTGTGTTTGCCTGTCTTTTTATTTTAAATCTTCAGCGTGTTTTCTCGTCTTCTAACTAGCTTTGCTGAGATCAGTGTTGGTGGAGATGGCAAAGTTAAGCCCACTACTGACCTCCTTGGAGAATCTTGTTTCAGCAACAGGCATCCTTGGCAAGAAAAAATGTTTCTAGTCAGGAGCTCTCTGAATAAAATCTGCCCTGAGCTCAAGCAATGCAACTAAATCTTTTTTGGGAAGTCTTGGATTTGGAATTTCACTGTGTGCATGGTGACCTCCTCACTTGCATATTGTGCACATTCTGCCCTAAGAGACTACTTAGATATGTATTCATTTCAGCTGAAGCTCTGTTAAGATAAGTGCCTGAACCTGTAAATTAGAAATACTCATTCTGGTCCTAAATCCAGAAGCCTCTGAGGTTAAGGGTGGTGTCAAACCTGACTTGAATTTCATGGCTGGCCTCAGCTTTCATAATTGGTGAATTGAAACCTCAGATCTGGATCGTTCTCTTTACCCTGAAAAGTTGGGTCTGAACTTCATGGCTCAGTTTCACTTCCCCTTGGGAGTTGCTACCATCATTAATATTAATTTGTGAACCTTCTTGTGCTTTCCACTTCCTTGAGTCTATGAAGTTTGCTGGATCTTGTCCTGCATCTTCACTGCCAAAGGACAGTTCACACCCTTCTGTGCCTCCTGTAATTGTGTAATTAGGTAACATTTCTTCAGGGCCTTAGATACTTCAGCCTGTTAGCATAGATGTTTTCTCTGCCTAACGCTGCAAGTCTTAAAAGTGCAGGAAGCTGGAGACAATGTAATTGTATGAAACTTGACCTTGAGTGCTGCAGGTTTTAATAAATTATCTAGGTATAAGCTTTTTCTTTCCTTTTACACTTTGCTTATTTGAAGTAATAACTATTCTCTTTGCATAGAAGGAAAGCCAGTTCTCAGGAATTGGTGTAACCAGTTATAGCCAGACAAACAAGTTTCCCAATGGGAAATAAGATGGGAATGCACCCTTGCACATTCTCTGGGGGGTCACAGCGATACGGATGAACAAGTGCCAGGCTCTGTCGTGAGCTGGGCAACCTCTTGCTCTGCTGGGCAAGCATGGATTGTGTTGGGTACCTTGTGTGTGGGAAGCATGCCTGCTTCTCCAGCAGCTTTGCCTAGTCTTGCAAATGCCCCTGGTGTCAGAGAGAGAAAAAACTGCTCTCTTGTGGCAGGGTGGTGCTCTGCCAGCTGGACCCGTTTTAATGATAATTTTCTGCATATCCCAAGTAAGACCCCACTCCAGATGGGATGCCACAGCCGTAACTTGATCTGCTGGGCTGCTGTTCAGAAGCAGTCTGGTCTTCATGCTCTGGATCACTTACAAGGCAGGATTGCAGCTGGGACCCTTGGGGCTGGGTAGGGGGGGGAGCTCACCAGCAACCCTCTCTGGCCCGGTTCACAGATATACTGGATGGAGTTTGGGGCTGTCTGGACTTGAGGAAGGCTAGTGCTGTTGTCGAGTGGTTGGAATCTGATACTCTTTGCAAGCAGCCTGTAGGGTTTGGATACCAGGTTCTCCTTAATACCAGCAGAAGCTGTATGCCAGTCTCCCAGGCAGCTCTGGCCACCTCAGCAGTGGTCCCTAAGGTGTATGGAGTTTGTCTTGAGCAAAGAGCCTCTGGCAGTTATACATATGCCTGATAACAATCTGATCACATGAATAAATAGGAATTTTGGAGAAATCAGGGTAATAAATGTGACCAGATCTGAAAATTGTTTCTGCAGTCAGGTTATAGGGGTGGTTGCCATAGATTGAGATGGCTTCCTCTGTTCTTGTTCTAATGGAAATGTCTTTGACCACAAAGAAAGCTTAGCTTAAAAACGATCATTCTGAGTTTCCTGGCTTTGCTTACGTTGTGTTCAACTGAAAGCCTTAGACACCTTTCCTTAAATAAAAAATCTGAACTGAAAGTGAAGCTTCCCTTTGTCAGTGTTTCGTGATTTGTTTTATAAATATCCAGCATATCTGGGAAACTTCTTATTTACTACTATTTACTCTCTCTCCAATGATCTTTATCTGTGATGCTCCTAGGGTGTCAGTGATTTCATTAGCAGGTCACCACTGCCACAAACAGCAAACATAGCCCATTGGGTGCATACTCTTAACAACCAACTTCTGTGATTCCTGTCCTAACATCTCCTTGGTTTGCAGGACCTCCATGCAGTCGCAGTCATCCTACGGTTCCAACTCTCCACCACTGAGCAAAATGAACAGCATGAACAAGCTGCCCTCGGTCAGCCAGCTAATTAACCCCCAGCAGCGCAATGCCCTGACCCCAACCACCATCCCTGACGGCATGGGAACCAACAGTAAGAAACCTTTGCTGCTTCTTCTCCTGTTTTATGTGTGCTCCCCGCTAGTCTGGGCAAGGAGACTTGGCACCTCTAAGCAAGTAGTGTTAGGCTGGGGAGCCTGGAGTAATTGCTGGAAACATGAAGAGCCAAATACTGCTCACTGCTGTGCCACAGGGCAGCATCCTGCTGTAAGCCTCACAGAGGTGAACAGAGCTGCTTCTTGCTGCACATCTGGCTGACTGCACTGTCATCTATCTTTCAAGACTTGTTTTTTCTTCCTTTCCCAGCAGAGATGCAAATGTTGGCAAACACATTTTTTCCCTCAGTTCAGTTAAGACACGTCTTAGTTTCAAAGGAAATATCTGCATCTCACAGCTCTATAACCTGCTTCCTCCTGGCTGCTGAAGAGTGCCCAGCAGCCCTGTAAATCCAGGATGACAGACATGGTTCTGGGGGCTGAGTTTTGGTGCCCCTGTTTTATAATTTCAAAAGCACTGGACCCTTGCCCACACCTGTTGCTGATCCCCTTCGGCTGCTCTCAGTGTCTCTGAAAACAAAGCTATTTGGCTTCTGTATTGGGTTACACTGTTGGCTCTGTCCTACTCCCCTCCTGTGGCAGGGAAAGCTGAGATGAGGCTTGCTTAGTTGCTTAGGTTTCTACTGAGCCTGCTTATAAGGGAAGGTGATGTGGCAGTGCTGCCGCCGACAGTTATTCCAGCGAGGGGAGAGCTCCTGAAGGACTGTCTGTCATCTGGTCCTTGTGCAGATTGTAGCCCTGCCTGGAATTCCCCTTGAGCTTGCTCCATGCAGGGCTTTGCAGAAGATTTAAAGCTGCTTTCTCAGTGGGTGCTGTCCTTTGGTGCTGTACTGGGGGTGAAGCGGGGGTCCAGGTATGCCTGGGTAACAATATGCTCCTCCTTCTCTCCTCCAGTTCCCATGATGGGCACCCACATGGCCATGACCGGTGACATGAATGGCCTCAGCCCCACGCAGGCGCTGCCTCCTCCCCTCTCCATGCCTTCAACGTCCCACTGCACCCCCCCTCCTCCGTACCCCACAGACTGCAGCATCGTCAGGTGAGCAGGAGCAGGCTGCCCAGCGCACATTTCCCACCCGCAGGGAGCGGAGGCCTCGTGTCAGGGGTCTTGAAGGGTTCTGCCAGGGCCCTTGACCCATTCTCCTGGAGCACTGGATCCCAGTGGGTCTTGGCAGTCCTGGGGCTGGCACCCTCTAGGCACCAGCCCCCGCCTCTGAGCAGCTGAGAGAAACAGGGACGTTAGGAGGCCTGCAAGAAGCCAAGCGATGCAGCATCTGTTGGACTGGTGGAGCTGAGGGTATCAGGCAGTCTTTGCATACATTTTTTTTCCTTTTTTCTTTTTTTCCTTTTTTTCCCCCCTTTGGCCACCTGACACAAGCCATGGATGGGTTTGGAAGCTCCTTGGTCCTCCATGAGGTCAAACAGGTTGAAAGATGCTGCCCATAAAGGAGGAATCCTTTACGGTTAGGGAGGAATGTGCTGACTTGATGTACTTTGTGTGCATGATGTGTCTGAGCCTCAGACCCACTGCCTTGCTGAAGCCCGCTATCCACGCAGCAGGCTGCCATGGGCTCAGCGCCTTCTGGGTGAAGTGACCTGGCAGGATGGCCCATGTGAGCCTTCCTGCCCCAAGATCCAGGCTGTGCAGCACTAGCTCTTGACTAAGGCAATGTGCTGCCACAAGGGTTGTCTGCTAGGTGCTGAACTGAAGGACTCCCTCATTTGTTTGATATGGCAGCAATGAGGCTTGCTGGCCTGGGATGTCTTGGAGAAGGTCAAGCCAAGGGTGAAAGCTTTGTTTCCTGTTGCTGCAGGTTGGCTGAGTGTTTGGTTTTTCTGTGGTTTGGGCTGTTGCAGCCAGGGTGATCCTTTTTCTTTCTCCTTCCTTCCTTCCTCCTCTGCAGCTTCTTAGCGAGGTTGGGCTGCTCATCCTGTGTGGATTATTTCACGACCCAGGGGCTGACCACCATCTATCAGATTGAGCATTACTCCATGGATGTAAGTAACTCCTCACCATTTCCTTTGTTTGCACTCTTGGCCCTGCTTTAGGAATGGGTCAGAAATCCAGACTCAGTATATTTTTATTTTATATGATTAGTTTGATTTACGACTGTTGCACCCAGAGAAGACATACTGTGAGGTGAAAAGTGGCTGGACTTAGGGCCAGCATTGTAACTGCCTTGCCTGGCACAGAGAAAATGTGTATCCCCCTCCCCACCACTCTCTGTTTTAGCCCCAAAAGTGGCCCCAGCCCACATGCCTGTTAATTCTACAAGGCTTGGTTTCAGTTTACACTGCTCTGAAACACCTCACTCGCCTGCAGACAAGTAGGCTGTCCAGAAGTGGTCTGTGTTTTTCCCTCCCTGCTTCTGTTTTCTT